GTGCGTTTGGGGCGTGGTTGCAGTGGTTGCAGTGGTTGTGCGTGTGTATATTTGCGTTGGGTTTGTTATTTTGAGTGCGGTTTCATTGTTCAGCCTTCCCATATAGTCTAGGCGGTTAGGATAGCTGGCTCTCACCCAGCAGATCCGGGTTCGAGTTCCGGTGTGGGAACATCTTTTGCTTTTCTTTCGTTCTGCTTCTTCTATTTCGTCGACTTTGCACGCTTTCTCAGCGAGATTACAACAAGCGCGTCGCAGTCACTCGGTAAGTTTAATGTCAAACCTACCGTCTGGGCCTTTTCACGGTGGAGTGTCGTCACTGTCATCAGCGATGACCTTTCCTCGGATCTACGCTATTTTCAGGATATCGCTGTGCCCAGACTGACGCACGAGACGACCATGCACGCTCCACTATATCTGCCATCTGACCAGTTAGCTCTCAAAATTGACACAGGCGAAGCTCGCTACTGTATTTTGTTTAGCCAGTGCCCATCAATCAAGTGAAGACTGATACAACTAAAACTGTAGTTCTAACTGTTTCTCATGGCATCTTAGTGAAACGTTTTGCGAAAATGAAACCTTTAGAGTTGGATAAAGTTTGGTAAAAAAAATAAGACCAGCTCATGTGAAATTTGTATAGAATCGATACCTACTATTGGTGTACGCTACATAGACCGAATTAATCCCTATAGGGCTGTCCGTACCGAATTCCCTTAGTTATGACATTCAGAAAAGTGTTCGCACATAGACCATAGTGTCCATAAATATTCTATTGTTGTAGAATAATACATGTATTTGCCAGCACCACGACGCATTAAAAGGGGTGATCATAGCTTTATCTGCTACTTCTAGAGCTTGAATGCGGAACATATTTGCAGTAACAGGTACCCCTTCCGCCCTCAAATTATTTATCCAGCGTACTAAACAAAGCATCGTGCCCTCACCTTTCGCTCGTGAATTTTCTTGTTGGCACCGCCACATTCGCCGCATAACTTTTCGAAGTTGGGCCGTGTCCGGCGCCAACAATGAATAAGTGTACGGCGGCTGTCATATTTAGACTGAGGAAGATTAGGATAGAAATGTTCGCTTGATGTCCCCACCCCTTGCCAAATGGTCTATGACCTCTAGTTTGTGCGCCGCTGTGAAGTATGACACGAGGTTCTTCCTCACTTTACGGCCTCGGCCTCTTGGAAGTCGTTGTGGTGAAATGCTTTCTCAGAAATAAGAGACTGGATCTGATAAGAAGTCACTATCCCAGATTAGTGACAACAGCTGGTGGTTAGGGAGAATCTGGATTGCCCGGCATGGATCCGCGCTGCTCGAAGTGGATTGGGCCACGGTAAAGCGGCATCCTATATGGACCGACGATGGATCCGGCATGGATAACGCACGAGAAGGCAGGATCCACCAAGTGAAGACTCGGATCCATCCTCACCCAATAACACCTAGAGGATATGGGATATGCCATGGGCGGGTGGATCAAGTGGGGATCCTATAGAGGAAGGACGGTAGACGTCATCTGAAGGTGGATATAATATCAACGACAAACGAGAAGGCAAGATCCACCACGATTTGTTTCAGATCCTACTCTCCCAAGTCCAGATCCAAGGGGGTGAGGATCCCACATCGAGTGACCTGGATCCAGGATATGGGGATGGTAGATGCAACGGATCTCGAACTTTCGTGGAGCGATGGAGATCACAGATAGTCGTAAGATAATATCGGAAGATTGGAGTGCTCAGATCCATGATGAACGCACACTTGTAGTGAGGTGGATCAAGGTGACCTGGATCCAGAATAGTGTACCCATAATGTGGCGACCACAATGATTACGCCATGGATCCGGTGGATCTGATGATAATACAGCTGGGATGATGGGCCAAGGAGAAAAAGGACATGCAGCCGAGCCTGGTAGGGAATTTAGCAAGTAAAAGACATAGAAGGTAGAAATCCAGGTAGGTATAGGCTTAACTATGAATTAGACCTCAATTTGCACAGTATTACGCAAGTGCCTTCCTGCCCTCAAGAATCGGAACTACATTGGCCGTACGAGCTCGGTGAAGGTTGGGAATTGCGAATCTAGTGTTGGTAGTGATAACTGGATAATACATTGGCCAGATCCTACAAGCTAGTGAGCTTTCCTTTACACGTTCAGATCCGAAAGGCTAACCGGATTTGCTACTTGGCCGGCTACACCCTAGAGGCTCTCAACTGTCAAGATCCCGTCACAGGAGGCGGCAAGTACGACGAAAAGGAAAATAAAGGCAATGGAACACACCCGCAAGGCAACCCTACGGCCAGATCCGAGATCTAGGCCCTGGATCCACCAAGCTCGAATATTCGCTTAGGATCCAGAAACAACTAAGGACGCAGAGTGAAGATCTTACCACTGCTGCTCCACCCCATCCCCACGTCTCGCCAAGACACTCAAGCTTCACCACTTGAACCCTTCGGAAGTTACTGAGAGAGCAAGATCCCGCCCTACCGACGGGTACACAAGGTGAGGAAAGCTCAGCAGATCACGGATCATCGGGGGACCCCCTCCGTTAGTCGGTGTCTGGGTGCTGTTGGTAAGTTGGATCCAGCAATGTCGCAGATTTTGCTGATCCCGCTACACCACATCGTGGCCGCCCTTTTGGGCGGCGGCGTTGCGTCGGAGCCATCCGATGGCAAAGTGCACAGACAGAAAGACAGTTCGTACGACTGAATGCGATAACTAAGGATGCACGGAGGTCTTTCCCGTTCGGACCCTGATTGGCTGAAACCCTCCTGAATGTCATAACAAATAGTACGTGATAACTATGAGAATTCGGTATTACTACTCGTAGCACTACCAATATAACATGTACTTCGTAATACACTCCGCGCCACATTAGATCACGCACCCACGTCGGTGGCTGTAGCTCACTCAAATTTTAGAGTTAGAGCGTGCTATTTAGATATGTTGTTCCTGTTATGACGCAAATAGGCTACATGTGCTAACGATTGCGATTTTGCAGTTTACACCAGGGCTCCAATACAAACAATTGATTTTGGCACTGCGACACATTAATCACGCACACCCTAGTTTACTGAACTCAAGTACTATATATCGTAATGATCGTGTCTAGTGTGCATGAACGGTGGGAGGTGGTGGCCGGTGAGTGGGGCCAATTGTGCCTGATGGTGGCACACTGGGGCTCGAAATCAGATTATGCATCTATTAGCTTGCATATAATACCCAACATGTCGCCCATATCGAACCGTGGCGGTTCCCACGGGCCTGGAAATGCTCTCTGTTCTTATTGCGCTCACATTCCATACAATAGTGCAAATTTACCGACACCTTCGGTGTAGGCCCTATTAATCCTCAACTATGATAATCTGCTTCGTACAAAAGCCGCCAGCACGGAGCCAAGTGCTAATAGAATGTAATGAGAGGTGTCCTGACTGGCTTCGAAGGTTAATTAGTGATCCAGAGCGGCGGAGGTGCGGTCACAACACCTCCCACTCCATACAATGTTGATACGTTCGTGTACACTAGAAACAATCAATTAATGTGTCACGGTACCAAAATCAATTGTGTGTATTGGGGCCCTGGTGTAAGACTCGGTCTTATATCTGCCCACAATAGCGGGATGGGATGCCTGCAATTTCGAGAATCCGCAGGACTTCCAACCCGGTGTTATAGACAAGAAGGAATATTTTATGGTGTGGCCAACAAATATTATATAAGAACATCGACTGGAACAGCGGCGCAATGCCATCGCGTGAAGACACGATATGCCTAACTTTGCTGCTTTCGTCTGTACTACCTAGACCCTTACGAGCACCCCATGTAGCGGTTCTCCAATCCGCTTGACGATGGTGGTGACGGGTTCTGTCGTCGCCATGGCGGCGGTTGCGGACAGGTGGCTCGTGTCGGCGGTGTGTGCTGCTGCTGTCAACTGTGGAATAGACGATTGAACTTGAGATGAGCGGGATTTGTGTATCCCAAGACCGTGCCACACAACGTCCCAGTGGGACGAGAAGGGGTGTCAACCTTACAGGTCATCCCAATATCCCGCAAACTAGATCGCTGATTGGCCCATTCGTCTTGTGGGACGATATAAGACTGAGCCTAAGCTGCAAAATCGCAATCGCTAGCCCAAGTAGCCTATTTTGTGTGATAACAGGAACAACATATCTAAATAGCACGCTCTAACGCTAAAATTTGAGAGAGCTACAGCCACCGTGGGTGCGTGATCTGATGTGGCGCGGAGTGAATGACATGTAAGTTACATTGCCTTTTAAAATTAATATATCCAAAATGATGCTTCAGCATTGGTGGTGGGTGGATTTTTAAATCCTTTAAAAAGGATTATTCCCGACCCAGTAAGTTTACTGGTAAACGGAACCCTGATTAGGATGGGGGACTCCAACAATGTAGTGGCGTCACAAGAGCTTCACTGCCAGCAGTTGTTGCGAGAAGGAACGGCATCATCGTTGGCAGAAGCAGTAAAATCAGCGCACTTTTGCTTGGAGCTTGACAAGACCCTGGTTCGTGGATATCTAGTGCTCACCGAGGCGCTCTCTAGACTGCACAGACACGAAGACGCCGTGATATGGTACAAGAAAGGTATGTTTGCGCACTAAAAAACTTCGTTTGGCCACGTCATGTAACGGTACTCTGTCATTATTCGCGTCCGATAGGACTGGGGCTGCATCCCGACAACGCAGATCTGCAGTCAGGATTGAAAGAAGCTCGCATTGCAGTTCTGAATGATTTACTTGAACAGAGTGAAGACGAGGACCATGATGAAAAAGAAATCTTAGTGACCCGAAAGCAGCTTGGGCAACTTACTACAAGTGAAAGCTATTTACAAAGCCTAAGTGATGTACAGCCAGCAAGCGAGAGCTGCTCGCTCCGCTCAACACAGATGGTACAGCGTGCGCGAGTATATGCCTCTTCTGGTCTCAATGACAGTAAGAGCACTGCTGTACAAGACAGCAGAGAGACGCATACCACGGTATTTCAAGCCAAGATGGGACGAGTCCTGGAACACCTCGACATGCTGAAGCTCGCGAGGATAGCGGTCGTATATATCTTCTCCGAGCTGTTGATTCTACGGCGTGTGAGGGTTGGAATTGGGCTCTTCTTCCTCGGTTTGCTGGCACAAGCGATAATGCATCGACAGAAACTTATGGTGATATCCATGCTGGTGATATGCTTCTACCGCTCGCAGCTCAAAGAGCGCGCTCTACGCTATGCACAAGACTGGATACAGACATCGAGAGACAAGTTGGGCGCTTTCACGTGGATGCCGCGGGTTGTTTTCGTAATTCCAATCTTCATGAAGGTGTTTGGGCATCTGAAGTTTATGCTGTTCTTGCAGCAAGATGTGCGTTTAGCGGGATTCGTGCTTGCAGTGGCAGCTGCGTTGGTTGCCAACGCGCTGCGTACTAGCGCTGGTCAGCAGGCGAAGCTGTGGGGTATAGGAAGGCGCCTAAAGCTCGCTGCGTATCTCACGACGATCGCGTACTGGGTGGTTTGGCGAGGAAAATTGGCTGATATGACAAGACTGCTTGGACCGGCTTTCATTGATGCAGGCGGTGTCGTGCTGGGCTCTGTTTCATCGTCGGAGATACAGGAAGTCTGTCGTCGCGCTTTCAAAAAGCTTTACAATAATGTGGTGAATGAGATCCAAGCCGACGTCGACCTAGACGCGTGGTTTCTTTTGGGTTTGGGTAACTGGGTTGTCGAATACTGGCAGCAGCCTACTGACTTTTCATTGGAAATGCTGTCGAAGATGCTGACGGAATGCCTCGACTCCATGGAGAAAGCAGCGGTGCGAACATTCAGCCCCGAGTTACGTCACTTGCGAAGCCAACTCAAGAATATGAACATCACTGACGAACTACAACTACTGGTCGCATACTTGAAGCAGAGCCTCGATCGTGTTCCACCTCCGAAGCCGTTCGGCATGGCATCATTATTCACCAAAACGTGTCCGTCATTCGTGGCTTTCGCGCTTCTTGTTGTTTTTTACGGAGTCATTTCGCTGCCGTTGTTGCCGTTTGTTGCATCTGAGTTTCAAGACGCAAGAGATTTGTACGACCGCTACTGCACTGGAAGTCTGCAGGAAAAGGATGGGCTGGAACTTATGCTGCTAGACTCGCCACTCTTCCACGTCTGGACAAATATGAAGGGCTGCATTTACTGCCTTGAAGGTAGCGTCACGTTTTCAAAGGCGGTGGCAACGGGAACGCAAATTGTATCGGCAGCAGCCAGAATCAGGTATGCATGTGTTAATTTCTTCAATCTGGAGATCGCTTGTGTTTAACAGAGTTTGTGTGCTTAATGCTAGTCGGCTGGCAGTTTTCGCGTCTCGCGTAAAGAGTGGCGGTGTTTTCGCAAATGCCCACGACGTTCCGGATCATATCGCGAATGCGTTCCTCGTCACGAAAGACTCGAGGTATGGCAAAACGTCGAGTGGTTTTTTTTGTAGTACTCGATAACGCTCTAACATCCTTATTTACGACTTACCGTTTTCAGTTTAATCATTGATGGAGTGAGGTATCTCCGTGACAGCACACACTTTCAGGATTTACAGGCTTCAATTGCAAACTGGTGGTCGGGAGGGCGAGCAAAGGAAGCGACGAGCTAGGTGAAGTCAATTCTGGCTTATTTAGAAACATGTATTCGAGTCGAGATATCATTTCTATGTATGTACGGGGAGAGGGCAAGGCCACCATGAAATAGTCTATGTCTGCGACTGCAGCAACCGCTGCTTGTTTTCTGGCTGCCGCTCTTGTGCTTTGGTCTTGGCTTATTCGTCGTGGCCGCAGCCGTCGCTGGAGATTAGAAACATTGAGCTAGTTGAAACGACGCTTTTGGTTGAAGCGCTTCATCTCCAGGATAGCCGACGAAAGCGGCTGCTCGCTGCACTCGCCCTTTATCCAGGGATGGTTGAGTGCCTCTGATGCGCTGAAGCGATCTTGAGCTGACACGTTGAGTAAGTTGCGAATCAGATCCTTGGCTGCTCGAAAAATGAGAGAAAAAAACTTTAGATGTGCCTACAACACCTGATTTTTTGGTTGGAACATTAGCTACACACACCTCCGTCCGATACATTTGTCCAGTAAGGGTGAGGGAAGTCCAGCACACCCGAGCGGATTTTGATGTACACCGACTCCAGACCATTCTCATCCTCCGAGAAGGGAGGAAATCCGCACAACCTGAAGAAAAAAAAACAGCCTAAGCCGCTGTATGAAATCTCGTCGCGCAAGCCACGTACATGATGTATAAAACAACGCCAAGACTCCACAGATCCACTTTACTGTCGTAGCCTTCGCCGTTTAGAACCTCAGGAGCTGATTAAAAGAAAAAAAAAATCCAAAATGTCAGCAACTCGTCAAAAGATTTAATAAAATATTCTCTTCCAGCTCACCAACATAGTAGTCCGTCCCGCAGCTTGTGTATGCCCGGCCACGAGAACGAGCGCCGTCATCTTCATCCTCGAGGATCTTGGCAATACCAAAGTCGCTCAGCTTGACGTCACTGCTGTCGCCGCTGGCAAGAAGAATGTTCTCTGGTTTAATGTCACGGTGCAGGATGTGGCACGAGTGGAGGTAGTTGAGGGCCTGCAGCACATTGGTGGTGATCTCGGCTGCTTGTCGCTCCGTGTATACACCTACCCGCACGATGCGGTCGAACAGCTCACCCCCAGTGACTCTAATAGCAGCAGAAACACCACTCGGTTAGTCAATCATCTAACCAGTAGACATTGGCAAGCTAAATCACCTTTCCATGACGAGCAGAAGCTCCTGGTCACTCTCGTAGACCTCCTCGAGGCTAATGATGTTAGCGTGTTTGACTCGGAGAAGCACTGTGATCTCGTCACGCAGGGTCTTCTTCTTAACACACAGCGCCTTGTTGATAACCTTGACAGCAAAGATCTGCTGTGTCTCCTTCCTCCGACAGAGGTACACAAGTGAAAAGGCGCCACGGCCAATAAGATCGCCCACGTCATACAGCGAGTGGAACATGGCCACGCCGTGGACATCTGTGAGTCCCTGAGTGACTAAGTTGTCCTCCTCCTTACGGAAGAAGGCTGAGAGCGGGGGAGCTGGCCAATGGAGAAAGAAACACAGACACACACGTAAGAAGTTCAGTCTGAGAAGATGGCTACACCTCACTCTGCTGAGCCAATGGACGGACCTTTAAACGCCGCCATTTTAGAGAAGTCTGCAAGGGACGGAAGAGCGTAGGACGGAGGGCTCTTTGCTACGATAGCTTATTTTTCTCTGTGTGTGTCGCCAAGGTGCACGACGAGACAGCGAGGGCGTAGGCGCAGGCGAAAACGCGGAGCTGAGTACGATGGCGCCTTGAGTCGTCAGGCCAGATCTGCGACTCGAAGACTCGAGTCGACGCTTTGTGTTCGTTCTCCTTTGTCCTGCACCTCGAACTTAGCCGGATTTGACACCACCCATTGGCTGAAAACATGCCTGTTAGCGATTCAGTACGTCCAAGACACGGGAGATGAGGGTGGGGAGACCTGTAGTGTATTCAGTTAGCCACTTGCAGTGGATGGCTCCATTAGGCACCAGGACCCAATTTCTCATGATGCACGTCAACTCAAGTTCGCATTCCAGTCCTGTAGTGCATCGAATTGTGCTGCCGGGTTCTTTTCATCCCTTTCAAGCCAAAGTGTCGCTTTAATGCATGCCATGCGTGATCGTGATCAACACGACCGAGACCACAGAGAATGCGAGCACCATGTACAGCCACGACTGGTGCGCGAACGGACTCGCAAAGCGATTCTTGTTGCCGCGTGCCGCCGGGGGACCTGGGCGCGTGACGGCCACCTCCATTGGATGCATCTGCTTCCACTCCGTCGCCAGGCGACGGCGCAGGCAGAAAACGAGGAACGTAGGGACGATCCACTGCAACACCATCAAAGCACACAGGCACGTCGCGCAGTTGTGAGTTCGTGTTCCCTTGAGAAAACGCGCAAAGCCACAAGTTCAAAGCAACACGAACCTGAATGCCCAAACCAGCGTACGCGCCTGTGAAACCCACCAGCATGGACACATCTTCGGTGAAGAACGCCACTACGAGCGGCGGCAGAAGTGCCACCAGCGCGTACATGTTGGTTTCCAAGAACCCGTACAGTCCTCTGGAAGGAAAAGCGGCATCGCTCGGTGCTGACGACCCGTTCATATTCGTCGCGAGGTGGCGGATATTCTCACGGAGCGTGATGCAAATAAGCGGGAAGCTTGCACTAAAAGTGACCAGTTCATCAGCATATACGTTTTCAGCATGTTGAGTGGATCGGACTATGGAAGACGCACCTTAGCGTGAACACAGGGAACAGACTCAAAAAGTATCCAAACGCTTGAACCGGGTAATTCTTGAAGTTGAGTGTGTACACATCCTAAGCAGAAAAAAACAACCAAGTGTCAGTTACGAAGCATGCAGCAACATTGCGACTGTGACCGCACATCGACGTCCTCTGGCTGGAATCGGAAGGTTGCTGACGCGCAGAGCACAAAATAAACGCTAAGGACCGCCTTTAAGAGGATATTCAGCATCAAAGCGTTAATAATAGAGTACCACCAATCGTTATTAATAACAGCGCGTTTAGAATGGCACAGGGTTGCACAAACGCACCATGAAGGCCGAGGCGAGGACCGTGCCTACTTTGGATTTGTCCGTGATAGGTGCCACGAGACCTGGAACGCTGTCGCACCAGTAATATACCACAATATGTCGGTTGGTTCTCTTTGATGAAGACATAATTCCAGCAGAGTAGCGTACCTGTGGTGGCACATGAAGGAGTAGATGCAAACACCGAAGAAGGTGGCAATGTTGGCCGGTTTTTCGTAACTCACGACATCTGCAACGCTCCGGCCGTGGCCGCGCGAGATCCCGATAATGGCTAACACGATCATAAGGCCAAACGAAGCGTGACGGATGATTGTTGAAACAAGTTGGAGTGTGCGCGTCTTGTGCACATGGCCGAACGTGAACGGCCCGAGAAGTAGACCGAAGAGTACGACAAAAAGACGATACAAGTCCGAGCTGTTGAACTTGTCGGAACATTCCCAGACAACAGCGTCCGCCGATGGGCGCGGGCATATTATCTCACGCAGGGACTTGGGGACAGCTATTAAAGGCATCAAAAGTCGTAGCAGCCGTTAGTTGTCAACGGCAGCACACAGAAAGTCCCATCGCCATCCTACCAACAGCATAGATGGCCAAGTCACCGTACAGATATACAGTGATGCATGCGTAGAACGCGACAATCCCTCGGTGGTTGAACAGCAGTTCTGCCATCTCAGCCAGCTCCATCTGCATATCATAGCAAAACATGAGCCCCAGCTCGGCATTTTACAGGCCAATGACCTCCGCGCACCTTCTTAGATAGATCAAAATGAAACCTGATCTCGCTAGTCTTCGCTCGCAGCTTGCGCTCTAGTACATCATGCTTCTGCAGTACCAAGCGCACATCAAACGGTGACGATATCGTCTATACATGAGATCTGCTGGCCATGCAAGCTCAGAAACATGCAAAAGTACTTCACTGGCGACCATTAGCGGCACAAACTCCGTATGCGCGTCGCCGTCGTCGCTGTCACTGAGCTCGTTCATCGGCTGCTTCTCGTCCCCATTTGCAGCGTCCACCCCCAACTCTCTCGCGCGTCGCTTGAGCGCGTTCACGCCCGCGATGGCCTCGACCATGAACGTGGCAGTCACATAGCTGACAGATGCTAGGATGGACAGCGCGATGGACCCGTAAATCAGGCCAACCTGCAGTCAAACAGCGAAATAGCGTTAAACGAGCTTTTGATGGGCCATATCATCTCTCCTTACGTTGGCGAAGGCGTGGGGAATGGTAAGCGCGCCAGCGCCCACAATGAGGTTGAAGATAAAAACGAAGCCCGTAAGGGGCGAGTAGCTCCCAATGCTCGGTCCGCCGCCTGCCATTCTCGCCTTGGTCAGCTGCGGTGCTGCTCGAGATCGAGGTAGACAATGCAGTTCGTCCTTTGAGTTTCACTTAGGTACGAATGGAGAAAGTCACTTCAACTTGTCGCAATGGCGACGGCAGTGCTGCGCGCCCGATTCCTGCTCACCAGCGGCCACTTGGTGGCCACATACCTTGTCAAGACAGAAGTGGGCTCGGCTTTATATCGGATTGGTTTGTGCTGTATTACATTGACGTTTTGGCGTGGCTGTTGCTCATAGACCGCAAGCATTGTGGCATATCTGTCCTTTGCTCTGGCGGGCGGAAATCTATTCACAGGCCTCGACGTCTTCTCATCGTTGGTATGTGAAGTTTCTCTTTGTGAATTTCTGCTCACGATATCTCCCGTCGATGTCTGCAGAAGAACGCTGTGCATATTTTCTGCCACTTCGTTGGGGGCGTGTTAGTCTGCCAAGTGATCCTTCACGATCTGGACCCGGGGCGATATCTGTGGTAGGCATGACAGGCTGATCGTCTGCCCTGTGAAGATATAACTTGTGTTCTTGTTTTGCCAAAGGTATGTAGTGTTGCTGACTCACGTACCAACCTCACTGTGCACGCTAGACACGATTGCACAGCTCCTTCTTTTCAAAACTGCGCGTCATCCATACTGAGCAGTAGTGTAAGGGCGTTTGCTTTCAGTGTCGTATGACTAAGTGTTATTATAAAAAAGAGCAATACTTCACACTACTGCAAGGTATCTGTATCCCTTCAATTCGGTCCTGGACCTCAGTCAAGTGCGAGTCGCTTAGGCGTTGGTCTTCTTCATCAGGTTCAGCGCGCTGCCGTTCTTGAACCAAGCGATCTGCTCCTCGTTAAAGGTGTGGTTCACCGTGATGTCAAACGGAGCCTCGCCCGATGCAGGGGTCACACGAAGGGTCAGGGGCTTGCCAGGCGTGAAAGCCTTTAGGCCCAGAATGGCCACCTTGTCGTTGCCCGTGATCTTGTCGTAGTCCGCCGGGTTCGCGAACGTCAGCGGCAGCATACCCTGCTTCTTCAGGTTGGTCTCGTGAATACGCGCGAACGACTTCACGATCACAGCACGGCCGCCAAGATGACGCGGCTCCAAAGCGGCGTGCTCGCGAGAGCTGCCCTCACCGTAGTTCTCGTCACCGATCACAACCCAGCTGACACCGTCAGCCTTGTACTGGCGGGCCACAGCGGGCACCTTGTCGAACTTGCCCGTAAACTGGTTCTGGACGCTGTTAGTTTCACCCGTCTCAGCATTCTCAGCACCGATCAGCAGGTTGTTAGAGATGTTGTCCAGGTGACCACGGTACTTAAGCCACGGGCCGGCCATACTGATGTGGTCGGTTGTGCACTTGCCCTTAGCCTTGATCAGAACCGGCATTTCCTTCAAGTCCTCACCGTTCCACTCATCGAATGCCGACAGTAGGGCCAAACGCTCGCTCTTGGGGTCAACATTGACAGTCAGACCCTCGCTGCTAGTAGGCGGGGCCTGGAACGTCTCCTCACCGGGGTCGAAGCCACGCGGCGGCAACTCCTTGCCGAACGGGGCGGTGAACTTGAAGTCTTTTCCATCAGGGGTCTTGATCGTGTCCTTAGCAGGGTCGAACGTGGTGATACCAGCAATAGCGCTCACGGTCACCATCTCGGGGGACGTCACGAAACTGTGCGTGGCCGGGTTACCATCAGCACGCTTGGCAAAGTTACGGTTGTATGACGTAAAGATCGAGTTCTTCTGTCCCATGGGCATGTCCGTTCGGTTCCACTGCCCAATGCACGGGCCGCAAGCGTTGGCAAGCACGGTAGCGCCAGAATCGAGGAACGTGTCCAGAATACCGTCACGAGCAATGGTGGCGCGCACCTGCTCCGAACCGGGAGTCACGTAGTAGGGCACCTTGAACTCGAGGCCAGCCTCCTTAGCTTGCTTGGCCAGATCAGCGCAGCGGGTCATGTCCTCGTAACTGGAGTTCGTGCAAGAACCGATCAGACCAGCGCTCAGCTCCGTAGGCCAGCCGTTCTTTTCAGAAGCTTCCTTCATGTCAACACCAGCAACGTGGCCAAGGTCGGGCGTGAATGGACCGTTCAGCATCGGCTTGAGCTCGTCGAGGTTAATCTCAATGATCTGGTCGTAGTGAGCGCCCTCATCGGCACGCAGGTTGGCCTTGAACGACTCAGCAGCCGAGGCAATGCCACTACGCTTAGTAGAGCGCAGGTAGTCGCCCATGCGCTCAGTGTAGGGGAACGTCGAGCACGTGGCGCCGATCTCAGCACCCATGTTACAGATCGTACCCATACCAGTGCACGAGATGGACTCAACACCGGGTCCAAAGTACTCGACAATGGCGCCAGTTCCACCCTTGACGGTCAGGATGTCAGCCACCTTAAGGATCACATCCTTGGGCGACGTCCAGCCTGACAGTTTACCCGTCAGGTTCACACCAATCACCTTAGGGGCCTTAAGCTCCCAGGCCATGCCGGCCATCACGTCGACGGCATCAGCACCGCCGACACCGACAGCGCACATGCCCAGACCACCGGCGTTGGGGGTGTGCGAGTCCGTTCCGATCATGAGACCACCTGGGAAGGCGTAGTTCTCGAGAACAATCTGGTGGATGATTCCGCTGCCAGGCTTCCAAAAGCCCATGCCGAACTTGGCACCAGCCGACGACAGGAATTCGTAGACCTCCTTGTTGACGATATTTGCGTTGGCAAGATCCGTGTCCGAGCCCTTCTCGGCCGTGATCAAGTGATCACAGTGAATCGTCGTGGGCACGGCAGTCTTAGGCAAGCCCGACGAGATGAACTGCAGCACAGCCATTTGGGCCGTGGCGTCCTGCATGGCCACGCGGTCCGGGCGCAGCTTGAGGTACGTCTCACCACGCTTGGCCTTCGTGGTGGCGTCGTCCAAGTGGCCGTAGATAATCTTCTCGGCGAGCGTCAGCGGCATGTTGCCGTTGGTCTTGCGCACCGTGAAGAGGTTCTTCTCCATCTTCTCGTAGGTCTGATCGATGGTGGGGCTTCCCTTGGGGTCCAGCACAGACAGGGGCACAGGCACGCCGCAACTAGATGACATGCTGGCCTAAGGAGGAGAACATGGCACAGACCACCGAATTGTCAGATAAAGGATCGTTCAACATGTACGCAGTGCGGAGACCGTCTACCACCAAGGCTAAATCTCACTAGAAACTCACCTTCATGACGGTGGAGCGCAGCGACTGACGCGCAGCGCGCGAGGTCGTGGAAACGGCGTACATGATGTAGGGACGACTGAGCTTTCGGCGTCCGTTCCGCTTGCGAGGAGATCCCGAAATGGGGTGGTCCAGGCGGATCCTCGAAGCGGGGTGGCTCACTTATAAATTACCGATAAATTCCGGGCACGCAGATGTCGCCCCTCCAGAGTCCTGTTTTTATCTGACGGCTTTATCCGTGATATCTCTCTGTACTTAGCTTTTGTATTCGCACGACACCCGCCAATCTCAGCCTCACGTAGCCCGACGTTTAACGTGGGGCGAAAAATCTACGAAGGATGCATCTCTTAGGTTTTAGACGATGCTCTTACTTGAGGTCGTGAGTTATAAGACGGCATCTGCGTTTTGCATACATGTAACGTTTTCAAGCCTCGAGGTCCAGCGAGGGCGGGTCATAAGTTCGCTTTGGAAAATGGGAATTGTGCCCATTTGCTTACAGTGCGAAGCCCGTGCCATGTTCCAGGTAAACACACCGGTAATCATTCCTGGCGTCCTAACATTAGTGTTAGGCTAACAAGGTACATACTACGTTTTAATTTAAAAGAGACTTTCAGAAGCAGTGTTTTTTTTAATGCACGTTTCCAAAAGTACGTATCAGTGAACCAAAACAAAGAAGTTATACGTATTATTTGGCACGATCCTCAACATGCAATGGGCTACTGGGTGATTTTTTTTCGCCTTTCAGGAATTGCTAAATCGAACGTGTTCTAGATCGCGACGGTAACCGGTGGAGTGTGTGCGCGTAGTAATGTGAAGTCAATTGTATTACGATGTTCTTCACAGACGTTTTTTTCACCTGAACTGCAATGATACATGTAACTTTAGTAAATCACTATTAGTGATTGCAAATTGCAATCAAATCAACCAAACGTCCGTAAATAGGTCACCTACGTGTGGAAGCTGTCGGCGTTGTTGGAATCACAGGCCTCGGATGCTTTTAACGCAAATGACAACAAGTACTGAAGTTCGACATAGATGTACCGATATGCCAAAAAAAATCTTCCAGTAATGGGTATGCTCCAAAGCGCCCTTGATCAAATGGGCATGGCCAAGTGCCCAACTGATACCTGATCACAAAGTGGTGCTGAAGCGCAATAATGCATATGTTGTGCCACATGGTGCAATTTATTCGCATTAGGATTGGCCCCAGGCCGCCTAGAATCTGGCTTCGAGCTGTCGCAAACTTTAAACTGCTATTGGCTCAGCCCCGTCCAGTGGGTATTCAGTTTTCCAGGTGCAGACGTGGAGGTTATAGTAATTTATTTTCACTTCAACCTGAACCCCTTTGTGCAAGTACGTCAGCTTGCATCATTGCGAAGGAGCTGATGTACGCGCAAGCAGATTAATATATTTGAACGACAGCGAGCACCTGGAGAGCTTCACTGAGCACTCCAGGTCCGCTGGATGATGTACATGTAATACGGCAGCGCTAACTATTTAATATTGGCTTAAAGCGGCGTTGGTTTCGATGGTTCCTGGTAAATGTAGCCTTCCGACACGATTTCTCGCTATGATGGAGCCTAGGGGCTGTACTCACTAGCGGCGCTACTGAGAAGTGGTGGCTACTGGGAAGATGCGCATGGTTGGTGAACGTTCCTTCGGGCTTCGCTTTTGGGTGCTGATCAGCCAAACCTGGCAGTGTGTTGTTTGTGTTCCTGGCACTGTATGACTGGTGGCTTGTTGCTCGAAGCCCAGAACTCTACCGTGAGAAGGCGCTAGAAATTCTAGTAGAATGGGTCCAGCGATCGCAGACTCGGAGCACAGTACCTACCGCACCTAATGCGTGATGCTGGTGATGCGTTTGGTAACAGACGCATCGTGATGAACGAGGCTTATGAATTCAATACATGAAATGATGCCGAGCCGTCTCAGCTACCTGTACGCTGACGGAGGACCTGCCGCACCTAATGCGTGTTTCTGGTGATGATGTGCACTCTGTGCGCAAGACTACCTCCAAACGGACGCCAGGGCGTTCGCCGTACTGGGTAAATTGAAAGCATGGAGGCAGTCATGCGGGACGTACCGGTATGGTTAATTATCTCTCGATGTTTAATTAATAAAACATTTTTAAATTATAAAATGGTTTAAAATCCAACCGCCAGATCGTACTTAATCGGCCACACTTCGATACCGGTACATGTACCGATACTGTACTTCCATCAAACTGCAAAACCTTGCAGATTGATCTGCTAGGGCAACCAACCCCGTTCCGTTGCCTCTCTGTCTCTGCGTGTTTGCCATGCACATTAAGCAAGTGATTGTGTGCGGCTTCCGCAGCTACAAGGATCAAGTGGCTGTAGCGCCCTTCAGTAATCAACACAATGTTGTGATCGGACGCAACGGCACGGGCAAGTCTAACTTCTTCGACGCCATCCGCTTCGGGCTGCTCACATCCCGCTTCGCCAACCTGCGACCCGATGAGCGGCAAGCGCTACTGCATGAAGGTTCGGGAAAACACGTTATGTCGGCGTACGTAGAGATCGTTTTTGACAACAGCGACGGGCGTTTGCCTGTGGACGACACCGAAGTGACACTGAGACGCACCATTGGCGTCAAGAAAGACGAGTTTTTCCTCAATCGCAAACATATCACAAAGAGTGACGTGGTTCATCTTCTAGAGAGCGCGGGTTTCTCACGCTCCAATCCGTACTATATCGTGCAGCAGGGTAAAGTCAATGCCCTAGCCGTAATGCGTGAGCGCGAGCGACTCGAGCTGCTTAAGGAGGTGGCAGGCACCAAAGTGTACGAGGACCAGCGAGTAAAGTCACTTAAGATTCTGCAGGACACGCAGATGCAACGAGACAAGATCCAGGAGGTCGTAAGTTATATTGAGGAGAGGTTAGCTGAGCTGGAAGAGGAAAAGAAAGAACTGAAAGAGTACCAGCAACTGGACAGAGAACAACGCGCTCTGGAGTATACGATGCACGAGAAAGAGCTACAGAATGTACAAGCAGAGATTGAAGCTTTGGAGAAACAGCGACAAGAGGAGGGCACGCGGTCTACAGAACTGCACGAGAAGCTCATGCAGGTCCGAGCTGAGATCAGTCGGATTGAAAGTTACCACCAGAGGAAAGAGCAAGATCTAGCACAGCTCGTAGAGGAACGAGAGAGTCAGGAGGAGGAGCGGAAGGGGCTGATGGAAGCTAGATACAAGCTGGAGATGGAGGTGCGAGAGCTAAAGGAGCAGATCCGCTCGGACGGTGTGCAGCGGTCGGCTGTGTCCAAGGAGGTGGATGTGGTCAAGCGCGAGATTGAAGCCAAGCAAGCACAGCTGAACAATGAGATTCTACCCGCACTTCGAAAGGCTGGACAAACGCATGACCAAGTGGCTCGAAATCTCCAAGAGTGTAGAGCGCAGTCGGAGCATCTTATCGCCAAGCAGAGTCGCAAAAGTCAGTTCCGTACCCAGCAAGAGCGTGACGATTATCTGCAGCGTGAGATCAGTGACATTGAGAGCTTGGTCCGTCGAAAGGAGGGCGACACGGGGTTGTTGAGGGACTCTATTGAAGGTTTGGCTAATTCCATTGACGGATCCGATCGAACACTCAAGCAACAAACTGAAGAGCTTCGTGAACATCGCCGCCGGGTGGATGCTGTCGGAGCCCAAGTGTTGCGTCTAAAGGAGCAGCGTAACTTTCTGAGCGAAGAGCGCAAGGGAAAATGGCGAGAGGAGAATCAAGCCTCGTACGAACTGCGAGAGTTGAAGAAGAAAGTGAGCGATGGAGAACATGCGCTGCAGAGTACGATGTTCTACGACGTTCGCCGTGGTTTACAGGCAGTACGAGAGATGCAAGATCGCATTCGAGGAGTTTTTGGGCCACTGATCGATCTTGTGAGACCTGTGGACGAGCGCTACTGTATTGCAGCCGACGAAGCCGCTGGTGGCGCTCTTTTCCACGTTGTCGTGGATACGGACGACACAGCGACAAGAATTATGCGGGAGCTCGACAAGAAAAACCTGGGTCGACTTACTTTCTTGCCTCTTAACCGCCTAAAAGTGAAGGATCATTTTGACTATCCTCGAAATGACGACGTTGTAGCGTTGGTGGAGAAGCTGGAATACCCTGCTGAGATTCGTAGAGCTGTTATGGCAGCTTTTGGTAAAAAGTTATTGTGTCGGGACTTGGACACGTGTGTTCGGTACGCAGAGCAGACGAACATGGACTGCTTGACTCTGGAGGGCGATATGGTTCACCGTCGCGGTGCTCTGAATGGTGGCTTTAAAGACCCTCGTCGCTCTCGCACCCGAGCGATGATGGAAGTGAAGCAGGCGCAAGTGGATCTGGAGAGAGTAGCTGAAAGAGCGCGGAGAGTGACAGCAGAGGCTCAGCAAGCAGATCAGCGAGTGACCGGCATTATTAGCGAAATCCAGAAACTCGAGGCTGAAAAGCACCGTGCCATTACCGCTCATGAGCGCTTGTGTGACGAAATCTCTCGACGTAAGAACCACATTCGCACCGAGAGAGACAATTTGGCACAAAGAGAGCGGAGCTGTGAACTTCAGGAACGAGAGGTGAAGGATCTTGTCGCGAAGGCTATGGCGCTCCGTTCGGAGCTTCTAACTTCTATGCAAGACTCCCTGACAGCAGACGAACACCAATTACTGCACTCACTGTCTGCCAAGATTTCCTTGTTCGAAGCTGAAGAACGAGACCAACGCCAGCGCCTTGAGGAAATTCGCTCTGAGAAGGAGAGTATCAACACGGTGTTGGAGGAAAATCTGATTCGACGTGAGAATGAACTCGCGCGACAACTTGGAGAGGGTGTCGAAGAGCTGGCAACTAGTGAGCGCGAAGAAAACCTCAAGGCCAAGCAAATTGACCTGGGCGATGCCTCGCGTCTGGTGGATGACAACTCGTCGTTGCTGAAAGACCTGGAGCAAAAAATCGAGGCATTGCAGCAAGGAATCACCAATGAGAATGCTCTAGTGGATACTTTGAACGGAGAAGATGTGTCACTAAGTGATGAAATCCAGCAGGAGGCTCGGGGGACAGAAAAGATCTTGAATAAGCACCGTCGTTTGCTGAAGAAGCGTGAAGATGCTACGCGAGATATTCGAGAGCTAGGAACACTTCCGATTGCTGAGCTTGAGAAGTTTAAAGAGCTGCCGTACTCGGACGTGATCAAGCAGTTCAAGCGCCGAAACGAAAAGTTGAAGAAATACAGTCACGTGAATAAGAAGGCGCTGGACCAATTTGTGAGCTTCAACGAGCAGCGTGCGACGCTACTGGAGCGAAAGCAAGAGATTGACGATGCGTACAACTCGATCAAGGACCTGATCGATGTCCTGGATAAGCGAAAAGACGAAGCCATCTTCCGCACATTCAAAGGTGTAGCAAGCTTCTTTTCGGAAGTATTTCGTGAGCTGGTGCCAACTGGAGAAGGCAAGATGATTCTGGTAGGAGCTGACACTAGCCAGAGTGGCAAAACGAACGGTAAAGACGTGTCGCTGGAGTCAAATGTCGGTGCGTACTCTGGAGTACAGATCAAGGTGAACTTCCGTGGAGAGGGTGACTCTTATTTGATGCAACAACTTTCTGGTGGCCAGAAAGCGTTGGTGGCTCTCGCTTTCATCTTTGCGATTCAGCGAGTGGACCCAGCTCCTTTTTACTTATTTGATGAGATCGACCAGGCGTTGGATTCCACTCACCGAGCTGCTGTCGCGGCGTTGATTCACCGCCAGGCTCACTCGAAGGATAGCTCGGCACAGGTGCGCGCCAATCCCTATCTTCTTTGCTCAATCCGCTTTTCATTGTGCTAATGGTTTCTGGGTGGTTTTTGTAGTTCATCACGTCAACGTTCCGCCCCGAGCTGGTGAACATCGCTGACAAGTTTTACGGGATCGGCCACCAGAACAAGATCAGCAACGTCTATCCAATGACAAAGGAGGAATCTCTCGACTTCATCTCCGATATTATGACGGAGGAAGAGGGCGTCGCAGGAACGTAAGTGGCGTACATGTCAGCCAGGCTAACTACACCTTCTTTTCCAGTTTAGGTAGTACTTCGTATGGTTGCAATCAGTGACAAAGTCAAGAGCAACATCTACTCAATCAAGTACCGTACAGTTTCGCTAGTCTTTTGCCGATCGTATACGCTTGCCCGATTTGCGTAGACCGAGCGTGTCGCGCTCGTCAGCCTGCTTCGATCTAAAAGCCTGCTTGAGGCCCTCGAGCTTCTTCTCTGTCACAGGCCACTTGTTGCACGCCTTAGAGTTCTGCCAGAAAAACACACTTGTGTCGAACGATGCGATGCGCCAGCGAGTCTTCCGGATCTGTTGCTTGCCCTCACAGTAGCCGTGCTGCTTCTGCGGGATGAGGAGATGCCTTTGGTTGAACCGACTCGCGTTTAGTTGTTGCCAGCCCTGTGAACCACAACACAAGCATACACCATCAGACATACGGTAAAATAACACTTGCACCAACGCACAACAGTCCGGTACCTCAGTCTCTTGCCACGCAGGGATGATAACGATAAATGCCAGAGGCCCGTCAGCAGCATTAAGAAGCGCAGTCATGTGATCAGCCATTCGCTTAATAACCTTAGGGATAAATGGCGGATTGGCTTCAAAGCAGCTACACCAAGAAAGTAAACCCATTAATATAAGCACTACCAAACTGAAGCAACGCCACCGTACCCTGAACGAGGAGAAAAGTCGAAAAAGCTGCCCACGCTCCCAAACGCAAAGTCTGTGTCAAGAAAAGCGCTACAAAAGCGCGAGTAGCGGCAGTTCAGCGGTGACGCGAAGCACTCCATTTTGCAGTCGAATTCTTTCAGCAGCACATCGAAGCACTCCTCGTTCAGTGCAGCCTACAACAACAGGGCCATCAGAGTCTTCCACAGTCAGCCAGACTAAGGAAAGCTCCTATTTACCTGGAAACCTCCGCCATCCAGCGATTCATATCGTAGCAGCAAACAGAACAGCGCGCACTCTAGCTGTTGTTGGTCCTTTGGTGCCATATTCGACCCGTCACCGCCCAATCCTTGTTTCTTTGCGAACATTTCACGCAACTTGGTAAAATGGTTCGCACTAAGCTTCACGGTCGAGCGGCCGTACGTAAGCTGGCGCATACCATCCTCCATCACTGTCACTTGGACTTTCTTCTTCTTGCCAACGACAAAGTCCTGCTGCCCAAACTTGCGCAGCATCCTCTCGGATTCGCGCGTGATCTCCTTGCACTTCTTGATAGCCCCCGACTTGGTGGCTCCAGCCTTACGGAGCTCCTCGAACAGTCCATTGTAGTCGCTTCCGGCGTGGGGGATCAGTGGGTCCCTGCTCCCTGGATCGTGAAGCTGAGACGTGGACTGCCACGTTCTCGTAAACCGAGATGGGCACCTTCCCCGATACCCAAGTCCTTCGCTGGCTCGGCGGATCTTAATGCACCAGTGAGCGTACTGCCTGTTGTCGTGCAATCTCCATCGCTGGGTTGACGGTGCGCGTCCTGGCGGCGTCCTCGAGCTTGCGCAACACAGAGGAGGCCAGTGGCATCTCTTCCTGTGGGTTCCATATACCCAATGGGGGCGTCGACGATGCCTCGCGCTCGCGCTTTTTACACCTGGGCGTTAAAGCTGAAGATACAGATGATGATGATGCAACACTAGGTCCGTTGCCTGTGGAAGCAGCCATGGACGCCAGGATGTCGTCCACCTCCCCCATTGTGACTTGTCAATCAAATATTGACGTCTACAGTACAGAAATCTGCCTGAATAAGGATTTCAACTAATAACCTCGCAATTTTTATAGTCGGGAAAGATTTAGGGAGATGGGATAGTGATGGGCAAGGTACTGACAAAACAATCCAGGCACTGACTTTGATTTCAATTTAAAAAATGGCGCGCAGCAGGTGATCCTCCTTCGCTTCAAGCCCTACGAGCCGAACTTCATTCCTACATTTACATTCAAGCTCACTAGCCGACTGCATCCTCAGCACCCCCATGTCCTCCAATCGTCTCCGCCTCACCTGGTCCGAGAAGGTAGCCATCCTCAAGAAGGCTGCTCGCTCACCTAGTCTGTCGTACAATGAGCTAGCTGAGTGGGCGGTTCAAGAGTTTGGGCTTCCGACGGCCCCCGGCAAAACGACAATATGCCGTTTGCTCAAATCAAGTGCTGTGCTGCGCGGACGGCCTGTGGAGAAGGCTGTGCGCAAGAAGGCTTGCAAGAAAGATATTAAGCGTCTAAGGCAACTTATCAGCTCCTTCCGGATTCGGGATGTTTTTAACATGGACGAGAGCGCGTTTTTTTACAATGCCGAACCACGGGGCTCTATTTGTAAAACTTCAGCACCTGCCTTAAAGCAAAGCAAGGCGAGGTTGACGATGACCGTCTGCACGAATGCAGATGGTTCCGAAAAGCTGCCTATTCTTTACCTGGGAACGGCAGCTAAGCCGCGGTGGTTTGACAAAAAGCCCTCCTCCCTACACTATTTTGGGACTGAGAAGGGCTGGATGACGAGCTGGATGTACCAACAGTGGCTGGTGGCACTGGATGAGAGAATGCAAGCCCAGAATCGCAATATTCTACTATTGGTAGATAACGCTTCGCCTCACCATGAGGTTGGTCTCTCTCTAATAATTAGCAACGTCCGTGTTGAGAAGCTACCCCCGAACACCACCGCCCGCTGGATCAGGGGATCATCAATAGCATTAAACGCTACATCTTATCACAAAAAATGATGTTCGCATTGGATCGCGCCTCGACAACCCGTACAGCGTCGACCAGCTAACTGCACTGCTCTGGTGCGAGGCTGCATGGTCTAAAGTTAGCGCTTCTACGATTCAGCACTGCTGGAATCACTCTAGTCTCATTCAAAAGTCGAATCTTCAATTTAATTCAATACATGCACATGATATGATAATAAAAGTCTGTTTTAAGCGAGCATTGTCAGCTTATGCAATCTCTTTCTTAATTTATATCAGGCGTTCCTTAACTATTTAAATTAAAATAAGCGAAATGAGGACTTATTAATTTTAAAAATTTAGCGAAACGTTTTAAAAACAGCTCATTTAATATTTTTAAAATAAAAATTACAAATGATAGAAGAGTACGAAGCTCTACTACTTTATTAATCTAAATTAAAATATTTTCTAATATTTATTAAATTCCAAGTACTAACTTGTCAAATGTTTTATCTCTCCCCGCTTAAGTCCGATTGGAGTGAATGGCTGGCGGCGCTTTTCCCTCGAGCCCAACAAACAATACCTGGAGCATTTTGAGTTTTGCAGTAACTCTCGTATCAAGCATGGGTCACCGTAAGTTCGAGGCTCCCCGTCACGGCCACCTGGGATTTCTGCCCAAGAAGCGCACCAAGCACCACCGCGGCCGCGTTCGCAAGTTCCCTCGCGATGACGCGTCCAAGGCGCCGCACCTTACGGCCTTCATGGGCTTCAAGGCCGGCATGACGCACATCGTGCGTGAGGTTGACCGCCCGGGCTCGAAGGTCCACAAGAAGGAGATTGTTGAGCCCGTGTCGATCGTGGAGACCCCCCCCATGGTTGTCATCGGTGTCGTTGGCTACCTGGAAACCCCGCGCGGCCTGCGCACCCTCACCACGGTGTTCGCTGAGCACTTGAGTGAGGAGGTGAAGCGTCGCTTCTACAAGAACTGGTACAAGTCGAAGCGCAAAGCTTTCACCAAGTACGCCAAGAAGTACCAGACGGCACCCGCCGACATTGAGAACGAGCTTAACCGCATCAAGAAGTACTGCCAGGTTGTGCGTGTGCTCGCCCACACGCAGGTCCGCAAGGTGAAGCTCCGCCAGAAGAAGGCCCACCTTCTTGAGGTGCAGGTCAACGGTGGATCGGTGGCTGACAAGGTGGACTTTGCCAAGTCGCTTTTCGAGAAGCAGGTGCCCGTTACGGCCGTGTTCGCCAAGGACGAGATGATTGATGTCATTGGCGTCACCAAGGGTCACGGTGTTGAGGGTGTCATCACCCGTTGGGGTGTCACTCGTCTCCCGCGTAAGACTCACCGTGGTCTGCGTAAGGTCGCTTGTATCGGTGCCTGGCACCCGTCGCGCGTTCGCTTCACGGTGCCGCGCGCTGGTCAGCACGGTTACCACCACCGTACGGAGATCAACAAGAAGATTTACCGTGTTGGTGCCGCTGGCGACAAGAAGTCGTGCATGACGGAGCAGGACCTGACGGAGAAGGACATCACCCCTCTGGGTGGCTTCCCGCACTACGGTGTGATCAACGAGGACTGGCTGATGATCAAGGGCGCCATTGTCGGCACCAAGAAGCGTGCTTTGACTTTGCGCAAGTCGCTTCTTGTGCACACGAAGCGTTCGGCCCTCGAGGAGATCAACCTCAAATTCATCGATACCTCGTCCAAGTTCGGTCACGGTCGCTTCCAGACCGCCGAGGAAAAGGCCAAGTGGATGGGCCCTCTCGCTCGTCAGAACCGCGCTTAAGTCTTTTAGAAGGCTTTTGTGCAGCTTTGCTAAGTGGTAGGTGTCCTCTTTTTGGCACTTGTTGAGTTAGCGTGCTTCTCTCGGACCTGTTAGGGAATACCATAAGCAAACAATGATACTGCTGCAAACTCTTAAACAATCTTTAGCGGGGTGCAAGTTGACATGTGAACTGTTTTTCTAGCACGTTAGGTTCGTGTTAGTTTAAAACACTTTAGAAAGCGTTTTGTTTCCTCTGAATCACAACGTCAGCTTACTCGGTCTTTTTCTTCTGCACGGGCTTCTTAGCGATGCTGATGTCCAGACGAAAGAGGATCATGCAAATGATGAACAGCGCGAGGAAGGCCGACACCAGCAGCAGTGGCTCGTGCAGCATGAAGTGCTGCGGGAAGTCGAAGGTCACCTCGAAGGGGACATTGTGAGAAGCCACCACGTTCTTCTTGTCCAGAATCACCACAGGGCGGCCGATCGCGGGCGTGTCCAGGTACGTCTGACGCGTCGTCTCACTCGAGCTGTCCAGACTGAACGGCACGCTTACTTGTACGTTAGTGGCACCTTCGGGTAGAATAACCTTCAAAGTGAGATCATCCACAGAGGCACCCTGGACGGGCGTGGAGAAGTCAACTTCAAGCTTGAACTTGTCTCCGACGTGGGTCAACACCGAGTATGTGGGGACAGAGTAGCCAAGGTACCACTGACTCTTCCAGCCTCCGAACAGGGGGAAACGCGGCTTGAACTCGAGATTCTGGTGCGAGCTCGTGCGACCAGCAGGACGCAGACGCGAAGTGGAGATGTTGCCGATCTGGTCACGGTAGTACACGTTAACTGAGTCCTTGGGAAGGTGCGCGTACATCTCGTGAAACGAGGCACTGCGCTGATGCAGCTGCACATAGTCGTAGCGTGAGAATCCTCCCTTGAGTTTAGCACCTGTGTGTTCCATGTCGTAGACTTCCTCGAAAGATACACGGCCCCACATTGACACTTCAACCTCGCGCGTGAGCTTAGTAATAGTCATGAACGGGGCGTGATTCTTGTAGTGCACGCTCAGAGGCGAGGACTCAACACCGGCAGCGAAGGACTTAACGTCCGTGTACGGCCCGAGAGTGACCACAGAGCCCTTCCTGGAAATGGGCTGGGCGGCACGGACACTCTCCACATTACCCGAAGGAAGCTTGAGCTTCGTGGTCTGCGTCTTGGTGAGGTAGGGCGAGGTGATGAGGTGACTGGCATCGAAGAGAACAAGCTGGTCCTCCTTTTGAGTAATCTCAGCCGGGTAGGGCATGAGGACGCGCGTGAAATAAGCCGTGACCTTGACACTGCCGGTATCACCTTTGGCTACGGGTTTCTTAAGCAGAACCGTGTAGAGTGCGGCGTTGTCGGGTGTCTTTACCTTGGCTGCGTGCTTGTGCGTGGCTGGCACGATCTCGCACGGAGTCTTGCCGCAGCGAGCGGACACGTAGGCCAGACGAGTCTCCAGCGTACGCGGGATGGCCACATCGTACTCAGTTACCTCAGCATCAGCATCAGAGAACTGAAACTCGGTATACTCGCGCACCACGTGCTTGGTCAGGTCGAATGTGCGCTTGGCCTAAGAAATGAGTCAGATGGATATTAATACGTTCGAGTTAGACGAGGATTTCGAGAAGTGCAAGGACGATTTAAATAGAGGTATACCGATTGGTTGATGAGGTCACCCTGCACGGTAGCCATCGCCATCGCCGCCGCGAGCAGCAGAACGCACTTCATCGCCATGTCTTCGTTGCTCCTCGAAATGCACTGCGTATCCCCCCAACTCGACACGTAGCGTTTGATATCCTCAGTACAATTGGCCAAAAACTTGAAGAGAGCATTTTATCCACTCAAATGCGTTTAGTTACGTTATGGTGATGTAAGTGGTTGATAATCAAAAATCGTGGTTCGTGGTCAAGGAGCGGCGCTTTGGAGCTCCTCATTAGCGACTTGTGGCCGCAAATTCTCGACTGTAGTCCAGCGTGCCTCGACATTTTAGAATGCTTTCGCGTGTGTCTCGAGTGGCGCTCCGCAGCGCGGCCGCGCGCCGTACATGTGTGAGCAACATGCGCCTGACCCAGGTGGCCTTCTTCTCTGAGGAGGTTGCTAAGGTGCCGGCCACCGCTGAGGAGGAGATGGCGCTGAGCCCGAAGGTGCAAACCGTACTGGATCAGATCCTTGACCTTAACATGGTGGAGATCGCCGAGCTCTCACACGCAATCCAGGTACTTCAACGATGATACTGAAGCAATCTTAATCGTCGCAATTTTTGCTGACACCGATTATATTGTTTTTGTTTCAGACCAAGTTCGGTATTGCCGAGTCTGCATTCCAGGTTGGCATGGGTGGTGGTGCTGCTGGTGGTGCTGCTCCTGCTGCTGAGGAGGCCAAGGAAGAGAAGACCGCTTTCGATGTAAAGCTCGCCAGCTTCGATGCCAAGAGCAAGATTAAGGTTATCAAGGAGGTGCGCGCCATCACTGGTCTGGGTCTCAAGGAGGCCAAGGAGCTCGTGGAGGGTGCCCCCAGTACATTAAAGAAGGACGTGAAGAAGGAGGATGCGGACGCCCTCATTGAGCAGCTCAAGGCGGTAGGCGCCGTTGTGGAGTTGGAATAGAGCTGGGCTCGCTTCTGCAGCTGGGATTCTCTTAATGCAGCGCAGCCCCCATTACAGATAGCAGCGTATTTGGCGTCGTTGCGCTTCAAGATTTATCATGCGCATTGCAATACACACACACGAGCAGTTTTTGTCTTCAGACACGCTAGATTTTTTTTTTGTGACGAAGGCTTCGTCTGCAGTCCCGTGTGTCTAAACCAATCATAAACCAATCACACTCATGCTACTCCGGGTGAGCTCTTTAATTGGTCCAAATTTCAGTTTTTAACAACTTGCGGTTTTGACCTTCAATTGTGCAGGACTCAATGGAGGCTCTAAAGAAGTCCTTCCAAGGCGCAACCCAGAACCTCAGCGACGAGGAGGAGCGCCACCAAAAATGCGAGGACATGCGTGAGAAGGCGCTGACGAAGTGTGAGTGCTTCAGCTGCGACAGAATTCTTTCAATCACGCAAGATGAGCTCGAAACGTGCTGTGAACAGAGGTCTAACACACTTGTTCCGTAATTTTAATAGGCTCGCGCGTCAAGTTCCTTGTGGACGCCATGGAGAAAATCGGCTGCAGTCTGGAGCCCGTTTTTTTCTCTAGCGTGAAGTGCGAGGGAAAAATCAACGGAGGTTTTCATCTTGATGACGAGGGCAAGCCTGGAGTGGGTGCATGGAATTCGGGGCTAAAGCGAGGGAAAGAGGAACTGAAATTATTGCGGCTGCGTGGATATGTCGATGCAGGTAGTACTATGCCAGAACCACATTCCAGACCAGGAGTGGATGGATCGCACCATGGCGCATGAGCTGATCCACGCCTTCGACCACTGCCGCAATAAGATCGACTGGAATAAGTGCGAGCATCACGCTTGCAGTGAGGTGCAGTGCTGTAAATAGAGAGATTGTGGCTGAATGCTGACAAGAGCTTTAACGAGGATATTGTTGACCATGTAGATCCGCGCAGCAGCATTGAGTGGTGACTGCAATTGGAAGTACGAGTTTTTCCGCAAGAATTTCAACGTCAGCAAGCAGCACCAGGTGCGTCGAATATATATTTTGCTCTTTAAATGTTTGGTTGCTGACCTCGATTACGCAACTTTACAACTGCAGCTCTGCACGCGACGACGAGCAAAACTGTCCATCGAGCAGAACGGCGCGTGCAAAGGCAGAGTACGTGCCAGTGTTCAACATGTGAGCATTCATGCATTATTTCTTACTTAAAAATGGCGTATACCTTCGCAGGCAGACGAATGTATCGACAAGGTGTTTGACTCGTGCTACCGCGATTGGTCTCCATACCGCGAGATCCCGTAGCTGAATTGAACAGCTCGTCTGCTGGAGCTATCACAACGACGTTGCTATCAATTTCCAGCCCGGACTTCATTTCCATGGCTGGCAGCTTCAGTAGAAACGCTTATTGCATGCAATAGAGAAACGGCAATTTTACCAACCAAATTCTGATTCGAGCCCAATGATTGGTTCACAAAAGAGATCAAAGGTCACAAGTCAAATCAACCCAGCATAGCAATGGCCCGACCAGCTGATACAGCAGCATTGCTTGCGCCTTCAGCAGCGGACGCCGAAGACACGAAGGTGCCAGCATCTTCATCTACGTGTTCAGCTCCTGTCGCCAAAAAACGACGCGTAGAGAAACGCGAGCGGCTGCGTAAGAGTGCTCTGTGCAAGCACTTCGACAAACCTGGCGGCTGTCCATTCCCCAACTGCAAATTCGCCCACGGCCGGTGCGTGTCTTAACAGTTTATCGCCCTTGGCATACTTACTCTAGCCTGTGACAATGCAATTTTTCCTGTGTTGCTGCAGAGCGGAGGTGAATGATAGCAGCACGCACTCGGTGGCGGCCCAGCGGCGACTCATTCGGGAGCAGTCAATTCGTCGGGCAGAGGAGCAATTCCTGGCGACAGACGCAGGCATCGTCACCCCCAAACGCAGAGGAACAATGGTGAGCAGTCGAATACGCTTAATTCTGGTGGACTGAAGACTGATATTGGTGCTGTACAGATTGAGCGCTACTACACCGAGATGTTCGCTTGCGACACGATGGGTAAGCCCATGGAGGATCAGTACGTGCACATGCACTCCAACCGTCTGTGTGTATTGGGCGTGGCCGAATCCCATCCGGTCATGCAGGAAGAGCTGGTGAGTGTCGAGTTCACGCAGAACGTGCTGCAGAGCCGCGTGACAGGCAAGAAAAAGAAAGGTGGTCAATTCATGCTGCCGAACACAGTGCTCTGCGTTCTCAAATGCAAGAGTGGCCATGAATTTAAGCTGTACAGCTGCATGCGCGGTGCGCTGATCGAGGTTAACGAACGTTTGCAGAAGGAACCGGAGCTGTTGAAGCAGAAGGTGGGGAGCTTCCTTGCTAACAACTCGATTTTGACTAACGCAGTCTTCCTTTCGGTTGGCATTCTTGTTCTTGTTAGAATCAATCGGATGGATACCTTGCCATCATTCAGCCGAAAAAGGTGGAGGTATCAGAGATCCAGCAGTCACTGCTTTCGAAGGAAGAGTACAGGCAATTCCGCGCCATTTCGAAGGCTCATACGGAGTCGAATGTACAGAAGATCACTGAATCAACCTCAGCTGAAGACACGCCGTACAAAGTTGTCAAAGAAGAGCTGGAGGATGAGCCTATGTCCGACATCATAAAGGAAGAACCGACGTCAGAGGCTGTACCTATGGAAGAGTGGAAGTGAACCGCATACTCAAATGTTAACAGACGAGTCGAGGCACACCAGTAGCTCGCACACCAATAAAGTAACGCAGGCCGGAACGCGAAACACGATTGAAGCAGGTGACTCGGGTAGGTCCTTCCTGGTTCATTCACCAGTCGGCAGGTTGGCTTCGAGGGTATGAATGAGCCTATACTTTTTTCTTTCTAATGACGACGTCGAGAACTGAACGAATAAATTTGGTCATCTCGGACCTACTGAAACTCAGCTCCTCCTGTAGTTACCGGTACACAGCACAGCGCTATTAGTTCACCTGTCCTCAGCAGTATTGCACTCAAAACATACTCGTAAATATGACGGCACTTTAATGCCTGTCGGTGGTGTTTCGCTCGGGAGATACTCGATTTCGCTTGATACGATGGCAGGAACAGCCAGCTCGAACTCGAACTGGTTGCCTGTAGCCGAGTCTGTTGTCGTACACACGACCTCGGTACAGTCATCCGCTTCATCATCGTCCTCACCCGCCTGGATTAGACGGATATCCGTGCTGGTCACAAGCCGGTAGAGTTCCAGTAACTTTATCAAGAACAAAAACAAGAACGTCAGACCACAACAGCAGCAGCAGCTAGCTCATCTAGCAGTTACCTTGTTTGCCTGGTTAAGCTGCAACATGGCTTCACCGTTCTGTATGGCCGTGGCAGCCGAAGCTGCCGCTGCATTAACTGTCACAGCATCGTCCGGTCCCGTGCACCTCTTGAATGAAGCAAACTGGGACTCGAGCTCCTTAATATGCTCGCGCAAAGCCCTCTTCTCTGCATCCGCATCCTCTCTACTCCTCTGCTTGGCGTCGTATTCGCGCATCTTCTCGGCCACGAGCCTGTCTACCTCTTTCTTGCGCTTTTTGCGCTGCTCTTCATCCTGCTTGGACAGCGTCGTGATGTCTCGTTTCAGCTTCTCGATGAGCTTCTCCTGCGTCTTTTTCTCCTGCCATGCCAAATCACGCACTTCCTGCAGCAGCTTCTCACTGTCGTGTTCATACTGCTGCTTTCTGCTCCTGTGTTTCTGCTCCAGAAGAGCCCGGTCCCGTTCGTCTTCCTGGTCCTCGTCCTGCGTCTCATTTGTCGAATTATTTTTCTTGTTCTGCACTGCTAACACCTTCTCGTCCTTCTTTACTGGTGCCTTGCGGGGGAGAGCGCGCTTCTTCTTGGGCTTCGGCGCCTTGTCCTCCAACTCGCTGTCGTCGTCTCCAGCATCCGCGAACTCCACGTCGCCGTCGTCGTCCTCATAGTCCCACGAGTTCTTGCGTCGGCACTGTTTTTTCTTCTTGGTCACGGAGGTCTCGGCCTTCTTAGGACGACTACGCTTCTTCTCCCCGGCCTTCTTGGCAGGCGGCATGCTGTCGCTTTTCCCGCTTAGTTTTTGAAATTGTGCAGACAAGACTAAATTACAAACTGATTTGAGCTTTTGTGTTTGGTCAAGGATAGAGGCACCAAACAAGACCTCGTAAAACTTTAAATGTTGGGGCACCAAGCAACATAAAGGCACGAAATCAAGACACCAAACAGCTTAAAGGCACAAAACCAGAGCTTTTTATCACCCACTACGCACTGTTTAAATGTATCTAGAATGCCAATTATTAATAACAACTGGTGCTGGTTCTGAGGTTTTAGACGATGCTCTTACTTGAGGTCGCAAGCCAGCCCCAAGTTGTTGCTCTTGCTGCTCATACCGTAGCTGCTAGTGCCGCTCTCGTGTGTGGCTTGATGTTCCACAGGGATGCCCCTGTGAACGTATTTACGTTTCAATGTGCTATAGCTTTCGAAACTATGCTAGACGAACAGTGTTACAATGGTTGGTTTTGCCGCCATTTGCGCTGCTCGCAGGCTACTTTTCGAAAGCTGGGCAGTATGCTTCGAGGGCATTTCGATCAAAAACCGTACAAAAAGTATAGCGTTGAACGAGTCGTTGCATACTTTATTTCATTTAGGTTCTAGCGGTGGTTTTAGAGAAACAGCTCAGGCTTTTGGTGTATCAAAGGCATGGTGTATTGTAAATGTTAACTCAGCCGTACGTGTACTAACACAGCTTCAGTCAACCTACATAAAGCTACCAACTACGCCTGAAGAATGGGAGATTGAAGTTTCTGCTTTCCACCGAGTTCAGGATTTTCCGTTGTGTTGTGGAGCTATTGACGGGACACTGATAGCAATAAATCGGCCTCAAGAATTTGAAGGCTGGTACAATCGCAAAGGTAGTATATTGTTTTATTTGTTTATTAAATTAATGTCCATCGATAGATATGCTAACTCAATTGCTGTGTTTCTAGGCTTCCCCTCGTTAAATGTGCAAGCCGTATGTGATCACCGGAAAAGGTTCATATCGTTCGACGTTCGCCCTGGGTCATGGAGTGACGCGAAGATATTTGAATTCTCGGTGTTTGCAAGAAATATTGAGCGAATTCTACCAAGAGGACATCATATCCTCGCAGATGCCGGCTACGGTGTTTCTCCTGCAGTGATGACCCCATACAACGAGAAGGATGAAGGAGGTTCCCTCACAAATGTGCAGACGAAGTTCAATTACAAGTTATCTTCGACCCGCATGGCGATTGAAGGTGCATTCGGCCTACTCAAAGAACGCTTCAACATTTTGAAAAAGCCTCTTGAAGAACGCACACCTCGAGCTTCGGTGCGCGTCGTCGTCGCTTGTTTGGTTCTTCACAACCTTCTGATAGACTTTCAAGACACAACCAATTTCGAGTTGAGCGGTGCTTACAACTCCGGTGATGAGGAGCGTATTCATCAAAGTCAAACCAACAGGGAAAAGAAACTAAAAAGTAGATTAGGTTGTCAAAAACGAGATGATATTGCAGCAGACTTTACTGCTTAATCAATACACTGTTTTCGTGCTGCATCGTTGCCATTCCACTGGCACTCAACTTAATCTTTACGCTGTAAAGCCGGTATTAGCTGGGAAAGAAATCAGATTTTGAAGTTGCATTCGCACCAACTGTTCATCCTGGCGCTGCATCATCGTACGGAAGCGGCTGTCGATCAGGTCACCTACGGCGGTGTCCATGCCCGTCTCCGCCAGTTGAGTTGGTGCCATGGCTGCCGCCATGGCCTGAAAGCCTTCCGCAATCGATTGCATCCCGATTTCAAACGAGTCGCCTGTGGTTTTTCGCTTCTTGTTCTTTTGATCTATTGTCTGCTTCCCCAACTCCTCCTCCTCCTCTTCCTCGTCGCATGACAAGAGTGGACCTCCGTCGGCTTCACTATCGGCTAGTGTGTGGCCATCCATGCCAGCAGAGCTAAGCAAATTGTAAAACAAATAAGTTTTCAACTCGTAATAGTATGACGTTTACATGCTTACCTAGCCCAGAACTGCTCCATCAGATCCAGCCCTGTCGGTTCTGCAACTTCTTCCTCTCTGTTTCCGGTAGCGCGACTGTCAGCCTTGTACTCCGCCTACTTGCGCTTCAGCCATTTCAGCTGCACAGCAAGACAACACGTACTTATTAGTTAATATTAGAGCATCATTAGCTTCATAGATGCTTACCTTGTTTTTGCATTGCTCGGTCGAGATCGGTGTCTTCTGCCGCTCACGCATGTCCGTGGCGAGAAGAAGCCACGTTACCTTGAGGGCTGCATTGCTTTTTGCGCTGCTAAAGCGGTCCGCGTAGGTGTCAAAACGCAGCGTCATCAGATCCCGCACCATGCTCTCGGTCCAGTCAAGTATAGCCGAAGGCTTCTTGCCACTTGAAGTTGGCAGCTTCTTGGGTTTATTCCCCTTCCTACGCTTGGGGACGGGTCCTCCGCGGTCGACCGCAGAAGGACTCGACCCCGAGGTGCCACCCAAAGAGCCCGAGAGGCTGGCATCCGCTTGAGGGGGTAGCGTGGCGCTGGCCGCTAATGTGTCACTGCTACCGACGAGCAATCCGTTAATCTGGGCTGCTTCTGGCGCGGGGTAGCTGACGATGTCATGGATCCCTGCGGACCCGCTCACCGGACGCGTAGGGAGCATGGTGTACTTGAGCGCGCGAAGTCTAAAGTGAACACTGCCAACGGTTCTACAAGCGACGACAACCACTGAAAACCAGACAGCGTCTTGTTCTGATACCTACCCCTAGCGAGAACCAGCACCAGCCAGCGCGACCAGCCCCTAATAGTCATTCCCATGAGCGACATAGCTATCGCTGAGGACCTTGGTAGTATTTTTTGGAGCAATTGGATATGGTCAGATGAGTTTTAAACCAATTAAAAGCCTAACAGATCTGCGCTATTGTGTATTCAAGCAACCGACCACGAAAATTTTGAGTAGAACGCACAATATAAAGTTATGAGGTAACCTTCACTAAGAAAATAAAGGGAGTCATTTATGACATAAATGACTCCCTTTATTTTCTGGTCAACATAAATTTTATGTTGACCGAACCTAATTTACTATAGCAGGAAAGTGTAGGGACTGAAATCACAAGATTGGATGAAATCTGGGATTCTCATCTTGATCTGAGAAGCAAAAGGACATGCTGTGCGAGCTTACCGGTAACGTAACGCAAGGGAAGAGATTCGCTCCGAAATCTCTCTACAGTAATAGATTGACCTTTTTAATTTATAAAAGCGGTAATAGATAGGGACAGAAATCACGGATTTTCATCTTGAATCCGAGAAGAAATAGAGCTTTCTGCGCGAACTTGTCGTAATGTAAGGGTAAGGATTCGCTCCGAAATCTCTCTAAGACCCGTTGTTAACCAACATCACTAGTGGACAGACTTCCTTAGTGGATATAGTTTTTTCTACACCAGGTTGGTTGTCAACGATATATACAGAAGTGAACGCCTTGGTGGATAATGCCAGCTCAAACCGAAGCGGGATAGTTGAAAGTAAATTTTTTTTTTTACTAAAAATAGTTTTCTTGCACACAACTTCAAAAGACCCATGACCTTACCAAGCATGTACACGACCTCCGCAGATGATGTCGCTACATCTCTTCGTGTCCGCCAGCAATCACAAGCACGACTCGCACTGCTACTGTACATTCTGTTGAGACGTTCCGTGGCACCAGATACTCTCGCCGTCGTGTGGACCCAGATGAGGAAATTGCAATACTCCTTGGAGAGAACATGTTAAGAGAACGTTTAGAATGTCTCTCACCAGTTTCATGCTGTTGTTGAACTTGCTCACGCCACACCTTCAAGTTAACGAGCGTCAATCATCTAACACTAGTGGCGAGGATTCGATTTCCCCGTGTATAATGTTTATGGCTACACTACGGTATCTAGCTGGAGGGTCTTACTTGGATATTCGACGGACTGTTGGCATTCACTGGCGCTCTTTTTACCGCGTCGTGGACACTACAATGTCCGCCATTCTTTCCCTGCGAGAACTACACATTAAATTCCCATCTACAGATTCTGAGAAGGAGATTGTAATGAAGGACTTTGAAGAGATCAGCTCGGGTCATGTTCTGAGGGGATGTCTTGGCTGCGTCGACGGCTGGCTCTGTGTGATTAAATCGCCTTCAGTGCGAGATGCTGGTGCGGTGGGTTCCAGTAAATACTTTAGTGGTCACTACTGTTGCCCTGGAATCAACGTTCAAGCAGTATGCGATGCACATTGTTGTTTTACTGCTGTTGATGCTACCTACCCTGGAAGTACGAATGATTCTCGAGCATTTCGAAAGACAGATGTGTACAGAAGCCTCAATACATTTGGATGTGGGATGTACTAAATTGGAGATAATGCCTACCCTGTATCCGAACATTTGCTGACACCTTTTACTCGCAACCAAATTCAAGACGAATACCATGATTAATTTAACTTTCATGTGCGTCAACTGAGGATTCGAATCGAAATGGCTTTCGGCCTTCTAACTACAAAATGGCGAATTTTCCGGTCACCAATAAATCGGAACCTGGCTAACACTACTTCAATTATCAACACAGCCATGGTTCTCCACAACTTTGTCATTAATAGGCGCATGACTGAAGATCCAGATTACTGCGTGTATGATGAGTCAATTACGCCGTTACAGTTAAGGACAGGTCAAAACAGAGTAAATGACGCTGCAAGCTCAATGGGATACATGTCAAGCGATATAGTCCAGGAAGAAGGCCTCAGTTTTATGCGTGATTATCTTGTGAATTATCTGAGAGACTGTAATGCGTTGAGACCCCAGACCGCAATCAAATTTAACTTCCATAATGCAAGATATTTTTCGGAAGAAAGAAATAGTACCAGAAAACAAAAAGAATGAACGAGCTTTGTCTCTCTTTATGTAAGACTTTTCATCTTATCAACTAAATCTTTTTTCTTTTGCCGGACGACAGATATATCGTTTTCGACGTCGCTGATCTCTTCTTCGGTGTATACCCCGGGTTGGTGCACGAACCATACGTTCCCGCAACTGTAACAGCGTGCTGTAGGTCACCACAAGCTGAGATATCGACAGTCTGGGTGGTGATGCCTGCCAAATCCGAGGGCCCCTTTTCCTAAGGGAGAGAAGAGTCCCTGTCGATTATCTCCTCCTTTTGAGCGGGTTTCCCCAAGCTTTG